ATCTTCCATTTAACTTTATATCAGATCGATATTACATTTTTTAAAGCGTCATCTATTTGCCCTCGCTCAGTTACTTTAGAAACACTTTCAACGATATTCTCATTTTTCCGACAACGTTGCTTGTTATTTTTTATGGCACTTCTGGTTGCTATTATGTGCCATTTTTTATCGTTATACTTTCCAGATTGTCCTACAACTAGAAGATTCGCCTTTCTGTTTTGGCAATGCATCCTAAAGGCACCGAAATCTTGGGTCCCCTCTGCATAGTACAATAGCCCTTACTAATATTGCTTAACTATGCATTTCTACAAGAACGCTTAATTTTAATGAATTACAGTCCGTTGGTTATCGAGACCCCTTTAGAATTGATTACCTCAATTACTTTTTATCAAAGATTTTTTGGCGTCATTAAATTTTCTTTTAATTTCGTCGCGTTATCTTAATCTTGTCTATTTTATCACAATACTTTCATTTACACGATACTAACCTGTTTTTATCATTTATATTTTCTTTTGACTTATTATTTATATTTTTATATTTTTATATATATTTATATATTTATATTTATCAATGACAAAAATTGCGGCGTTTCTTCTGCTGCTGGTTTCTTCTAGGATATTGCATTTTCTTAATTTGCTTAAATTCTATTATTGGATAATTTTTCATCCCTTATTACATGAATTTACCTTTTCTCCTGTTAGCTATCATCCCCATCTTGTGCTTAGATGCTCACAATAGATTGTGTTGTTTTACGAATATGCCTGAATTTATATATATATATATATAATTATTAACATCCAAATATTTCATTTATTTAGCTGGACAAACTCGCCCCCCGTATTTACCAAAACTTGGAGAGGTGGTGCGTCAACTAAGCGTTACCACCTTACTTTATGCAATGCGCTCAGTAGCAGAGGCCCATCTTTTGGAATCAGCTACTAATTCTTCCACATTAACGATGTCAACAAATTCTATTTCAACTTCTTCTTCTTTGGCTTCTGCTGCCGCAATAGCAGCAGCTGCCTCTGCAGCCGTGGTCACAACTACGTCAGCTACGCCGATAACAACATCTGGTTTATTATCTTCTATCCTTGCCCCATCTTTATCTATAACCGGGGCTTTTTCTCTGCAGCCTGCGGTTTCTTGCTCACCAACTCTTCTTTACCCACTCAACCCTTGTATTGATGACTCTAAGCTCTCTCGACCTAACTGCCTCTCACCAGGATCCCATTCATACTGTCAGACACCTGTGTCTCACTCGTCCAACGAATGCCAGACTGAGACACTCCCCAAAGCAACCCCAATTGATGACCCATCACCACTCAACCCGCCAAATATTTGGTCAACGGTAGCTGCTCCGACAACTGGAGTTGATCCCCAAATACTCGGAGGAGAGGATTTATCCAATGAGAGTCCTTTAGGTTCTTCATTGAGCCGTCACGTCGAGATGGAAGAGGAACCAGAAGCTGAGGAGTCGAGTGGAGAAGCCGAATGGATGAGCCAAGCAAATGGAGCTCGAGAGTCAAACGATGCCAAGCTGAACAGCCTGAACAGCATGAAACCAACTGGCCTTCGGAATACGATTAAAATCTGAAAACGTCGCATTTGTGAATCATGATAGCCTTTAAATTATTTTTGTGAGTCGAATTGATTTTTTTTAATTACGAATTATTCTGCTTATTTCTT